AATGAGAGTCCAAACAGCTGATAAAAACATCACAATAATCCACAATAATCCACAGCACTCCAGTCCATCAGTTAATTTAAACACTTTTTCACTGGAGGAAGCGTTATTATGGATTACGGACTTCTTGTCTTCTCCAGATGTTAACTGATGGACTGGAGTGCTGTGGATTACTTGTGGATTATTGTGATGTTTTTATCAGCTGTTTGGACTCTCATTCTGACGGCACCCATTCACTGCAGAGCATCCATTGCTGAGACACTGATGCAGAGACGCATTTCTCCAAATCTGATGAAGAAGCAAACTCATCCTGATCTCAGACGGCCTGAGGGTGAGCACATTTACAGCACATTTTTCATTTTTGGGTGAACTATTTCTTAAATCAATAGAAAAATGAATCATCAGTAGCAGTCATAGTTATGACTCTTACTCAGTTGATGCTTTTGAGTGTTTCTATGTGCACATACTTTCTTTCTTTCCTCAGTCGGCGTGTCAGTCTCTGCACCTGGTGAAGGCGTCCCAAAATCTTCTCATTTACCTGAGAACAGGTTCATATGACATTTGGTCACGAAACCTTCCCAGACATCATTTGCCCATCTTCATGCTGTGCTAAAACTGTGCGTATTTTTTTCCATGGGACACAAAATGTGAAGTTTTGAAGAATATCCTGACCACTCTTTTCCCATTTCAGATTCAAAAACTGAGCTTTTCTTGAACATGAGTGACGGTGAACTTCATTTTTTGGGGTCAGCCGTTCCTCTACACTACAGTTCAGTGTAAATCTGTTCACCTGCTCAATCTCTTTGCACCTCTTGCTGAGAGCGTGATACTTGCTGTGGTCCAGCTCTCTCCTCTCATCTTCTCTGTCCTGTGCGGGGCCCGACGGGGCCCCATCGCTATCCAGGAGCTCAGTGCCGCTGGGGCCTAGCTCCACGCCGCCCGTCTCCAGCTCCGCTTCCAGAATGTGACCCCCGAACAGCGGAGGAAGAGCCAGACCTGAGAAATCTTCCATCATCTGAAGCACATCCACAGACAGACAGAAGCTCTGAGTTAATATAACAGCATATCCCACGACTGGTTTACAGATAAAGATGTTAATAATCTTACTGATTAAACACAAACTAAGCATGCTCTCTATGAACTCACATGGAGCGTTTCTGTTCTGCAATATCAATATGATTATGAATATGCTAATACGACTTCCATGCCGTTTTTAATGATTTGAATTCAATACTTACCTTTACTTAATAATACTGCAAAGCGCCATACATGATTCAGTCAGTTAATTATAAATCCTGCAGGTATGTTTTCTACTCCTCATCAGTTCCGTCTATACATAATTTAAACGATACATCTGACAAAAGCAAGAATTAGCCTGCTTCATATGATCACATAAAAATAAACATCTACATGTTCATCTACACCACAGCCTTCGAACCACGAGGCGCGTTTTAAATACGTCATTGACCGTTCAGCCAATCCACAGCGAATGCGTCACCAGCATTTGTTATCGAACTACAATTCCCACGATACCCGAAACAGGACTACAGAAGCAAACATGGCGGCCGGTACGTATCTTTTTGCGTGTTAGCTGCTTGAAAGATGTGTTATTTTAGTTTGGCTCGATCGTATTTACAAAAATAGAACCAACAGGCAGTTCATGAGAGCTATTGCAATCTATTCGTGTACTAAAAATAATGATTGTATGATGTGCGAATACGAGAATGACCTTGGTCTCATACTAGCTGTGGTTTGCTGTGCTCTGCTTTAAACATGAATATGTGATAACTCATCGGAGGCCTTTAAACGCGTAACAAAATTATGGCAGAATCTACCATGGCTTGTTTTCGACGTGTACCATGGTATTCTAAGAATACATGGCAATAATTCAGCACTACTGTGAAATATTATCAAGAACCATGGTATTATCATATGATACCATCATTAGGGTTACTTTAGTTAAGCACTGAAATCAAACTCTTTGTTTCTCTAGTTGGCAGGTTTTTGAAGAACGCTTGGAATAAAGAGCCAGTGATCACCGTTTCCTGTGGGATCGGGCTGCTGGGTGACTGAGATATTAATGCATCACATTATGGGTCTTCATCTTCCTGCTTTATGAATCTAACATGTTTTTATTAATTTATTGTGTTTCAGCTTGCCTTCTGCCGGCTTTGAGCCCTTTAACAAAATACACAGGAATGATGAACCGAGCTATTCCATACAATTATCCAGGTATATTATCCTCATGTGGTGTGTAAACGCTTGACACCAGGGTTATTTGGGTGTTTCTTCGATTAGGGGAGTATTTTGCGATACTTGATTTTTGACTTTCATGAGCTGTGAGCTCTAATCATAAAAATTAAAACAAAATACCTTTTGAAATGTTTTACTTTACGTGTAAAGAATGTATGAAAGTTTCACTTTTTGAAATAAGTTACAAAAAAAAGAACTTTTTCACGATATTCTAATTTTTTGAGATGCGCCTGTATATATATATATATATATATATATATATATATATACATACACA